GAGGAAATCCTGCCGCGGCCGTGGGAGCAGAGCCGCAGGCCCCCTGCGCCCGGGCGGATGGAGGGATGGATGGGGGAACAGACGGATGAGAGGACGGATGAGCGGGGCCAGCGAGCAGGTGGGACTTGCCTTTCCCTCTGCCTTCAGAGAACCGTGACTATGCCATTTGCGCCGCTTAAACCTTTATTTCCTGCACCTCAGCCGGCCTCATGGCAAAAATCGTGTTTGTCGCTGAGTATCCCGTTTCGGATTATTTCTGACTGGGATGTGGGCAATAATTACATAATATCGGCTCCGATCCTACGAAATTCGTAACAAAAAGGCAGCTAACCTGAATGGGATCGGGATTGGGCCCACAGTGCCTGGCTCTCTTTTAAGTATCAGTCTAAACATCGGGAATGAGACTACTTGGGACACAAGATTTTTTTTTTTTTAAGTGGAAAAGCTCATCATAATTCTATCATTACTTGAAACTTTAACAATTTTGAAACTGGAAAAAAAGATATAACTCAAAAGAATTACTGCTAATTTTAATAAAAACAAATGATAGCATGATTGACACTTACTGACTTAAATTATTTATTGCTTGTACGAAAGGCCAAGTGTGCTGGATACTTGAAACAGCGAAAATATCATTCACACTCCTACAACATATTTTCTGTGTTCACAGTAGAGGGAATGTGTTGTCTTCCCCATGTCTCATGTTATAACCACGATTTTGTTTAGCCACAGCTGCTTAGAAAATGAGCTTGACTCCTCCTAAATACAGCCACAGAATTCAAGCAGCCTAATAATAAAAATCGGAAAAGATAGTGCTTGACTTATTTTTATATTAACTCAGTATCACTCTGTGAAAACAAAAAATTCTTCATTAATTTGTGGTCTGCTATGAGGTACGTGGGGTGGGAAACAAGACCTGTGATCAAACCGCCACTACACAATTGACTTTTACAAGGGTTTACATCCCCTTCTGCAGAGCTGACCACTGAGCCAGCATCAACCTTGGCCCTCCGTGTCAGTACTAGACAGATGATTGGAAGCATTTGGTTGTTTAGTATGGAAATGTCAAGAGGGTCATCACTCTTCATCTGGCTAACAAAACAGTGGGATAGGAAGTGGGGGGTAACCCTGAAATGCAGGCATTTGGTGGTGCTAGCATGAAAACAGAACAGAGATGTGGAAGTTGTGGTTCAGTCCCAGATGGACTGGCCCGTTGGTCTGAAACTATACCAGCCTGTGGAACTTTGACCATATCCTCCTGCCTTGGAATGAGCCTTAGGCACACAAGTAGCTCCACAGTTCTCATCTGAAACAAACCTCCTCTGCAATGCAAACTGAAAAGAGTTTATCAGTTTGGATTTTACTTGAACTTGCACCAAGTCGAGACTTTGTAGTAACAGAGGCAATAATTTCACTTCTGCTTGCCAAAGGGGACAACACATCCCCAAATACTTTGAAAATGTTAAACCACACACTTCATGCAGCTTGAAGCAGATCACAACCAATACCTTCACATTTGGTGTACATGCAAAAAATGGCACTGAAGCTCAAAAAATTGTAAGAGGGCATGTTAATAGCATCAGAAAGACCAACTTCCAATCTTCAAGTCAGCAAAAGCAACGGACAGGGTAAGGTACAAGAGGTGGCACAAAGCTTGAGAGAAAAGGAGAGACGATAGATCCTTCTTTTTCAAGAGATGGGCGCAGATGAGGTATAGGTACTTTAGTAAGATGATACTGACAGATCTGTCTATACGTAGGTATGCAGTTGTTTGGCAGTTTAGACATCTCGCCAACCTAATGGTCTCTGCTTTGTTAAGCTTCAAGGACACCAGGTCTCCAATACATTTCATAAACAGTCAGCTTTCTACTTGTGCTTGGAAAAATGATGATAATGAACATGAGAAGTTCAAAGGGCAGTTTAACAAATCTCCAAAGTAACAGCACACTGCTAGGATACTGCTGAAAGGCCTTCCACTCCCTCCTGGCTTTTCCAGAGAGATGCATTGTTCAGTAGTAAAATAATTCTCCAGGACATTTATGAACAGGGAATTGGGAAAACTAAGATGTCTTCTGTCATCATGCTCAAGGTTGCCTTCTGCTCAAAGAAGGCGGCAACCAAAAAATTCTCCCATGGATGGGGGGGTGGGGAGAAACAAATTAAAAATTGTCTAACTAAAACTGGAAGTTGAAATTTCAAATTGTAATGAAATAAAAATTAAACACCCAACACAATTTCTAACATAATTGCCTATGGGTAAGCTAATATCCTCATGTAGACCCACAGAGCTCACACTCAGTTTAATCATTAGCTAAATGTCAGTATACATTCTATTGTACTTTGCATTAGACAGCTATCAAGTTTTAAGGGAATATAAGAACATCTCAAGTTCTTAAAATTAAACGTCAATTTCTCCCCTTCCAAGCTGTGAAGTCTATTTTCCTAGAAAACAACAGTATCCCTTGATGTCCTACAGTAACTTTAAGAAGAAAACCCCAGAATAATACAAATGTGACATCCACCCACACCTGGTCTACAAGCTATGCAATAAGGAATGATTTAGGATAGTGAAGTCACAGTGGTTTCTACCAACTCAACTTCTGCCCCAACAACAAAAGGAAATATATAGCTGCTTTTCCTTTTTTGAGGGCAGAGGAAAGCAAACACACATAGGGCAGTATGGAATGGTGGAAGGGGCAATCTAGTTGTGATTGGACATTTTGTCCACTGAGCAGTCATCAAAGTGTGATTGAAAATAACCTCTCAAAGTCTAAGCCTAAACAATGTTAAAGTGTAAATAACAAGTGCTACTATTTAGCAGGAAATTAGCAACATAGAACAAACACAGCTGCCCAGATGACAACTTAGCTTCTTGCTTTTAGAAGAGGAAACAAAAATGCATAGGTCTGTTTTGAGTATTGACTTTTAATAGCTTGTTTCTCATAATGGAACAGGGGTTGTTTTGTTTTAGAAATACAGGTATCAGTTGAACTTTAAATACAGCCTGCTCCTGCCAACAGGTCCTGTACATTATTTATTTGGCTTCAGCTTTTGTTTTTATGCATTAAGCAACCTTCAACCTTTTTATCTTTCTTTTTTTTTTTTTTTTTTTTTTTTTTTTTGGTATTACAATATATAGACAAATTTAAGTACAATAATAGTTTAGGTATTTTACTGTTGTCACATTTTTCTTGACATACTGGACAAAGTGATACACATCAGTCTGCCCCCAAGCCCAGGCTTCACACAAAGCACGTTGAATACTGCTTTCAGTGGCACACTCAATTTGCTCCCATACTTAATTTGCCAAATCTACACAAACAGATCCTTTGGGAATACTAGGAATTATTTCCAACTTTGTCCAGTGACACTCAAATGCTCAGGCAACAACTGGTGATTTTTATTTTATGCTTACTACAGAAGTTTCATACCGACAGGAAAAAGAAAGTTTTAGAACTGGACAAGCTATAGTAATCCAGGTTTTGGTAGAAGAATTACATACAAAAATGGGACTTTCATATATAGTTTTCAATCTGTCGTTTCATTTTTCAAAATAAAACCTGTATATATAAATGGGTAACACTTGAGATCTGTATATGAATAACAGTTGCTTTCTGGCTAAAACAATATATTTAGACAGAATCTCATTTTCTCATACTTCAAGTATGCCAGCCAGTCCAGTCCTTTGGGAAAAAAACATTTCCATTTTTAAATCCTTTAGGATCTATAAGATTCATTATATGGTAATGACTTTAAATTAGACAATATACTATATTATGAGGTGAACTGAAGGGGATTAGATATTGAAGTATTGATCTGGATGCAGTAAGCCAAACAGCTGTTTAAACATGATACTACAGCTGAAGTAAGTCTCTGTCAGAATAAAAACCAACATTCATGAAAACAGCAGCAGCCATCAAAAATATTCACAACTGCAGGGATTTTTGTTTATTGTGTGTAATTTTGCATGGTAAGTAGGAGAAGCCACAACAGTTTAAAGCAAAATTAAAAAAAAATACCACTACAGCCTTGAATTTAATAACGTGAATTGTCACTCTTATAGCTGTTCATAGAAGTGTACTAAAAAAATTTACTTAAAACATACGAATTTAAGACTTTCACTTTATTCAGCAAATTGGTTTATTTACACAATGGGGAACGCTGGTTGAATGCTGTCAATGTAATAAAAACAAATCTAACAGAGACAATACTGAACTCTCTCTATGTATTCATAGCAGAAATGACAAACTATTTCCTTACCTGTATCAGGAACATCAAGCGCAACAATGGGAGAGTATCATAGGACACTGATATAACAATAAACCACAGAGGTCCAGTAATACTATGGCAATTTACTCATGTATTTACTGACTTAAAAAAAAATAAAATTAAAAAAAAAGTCAGCAATACCCAGCATAAAGTTCTGTCAATTATCAGAGTCAAACTCTGATGAGTAGGTCAGTAAAACCTTATCAGATCATCCACAATTCACAACCTGATCTGCTTCAGACCACTAATACAGAAACAAAATCCAGGAAAACAGATGACCCTCTAAAAGGCAACGATGATCTGGTAAGGGTTTACACTAATGGAAGTTTAAAAAAAAATTAAGAATTGCAGAGCACAGCCCCTATTAGAACAAGCTAACTTTCCAGACTTTCAAAAAAGACAAAAAAAAAAAAAAAAAAAAAAGAGAAAAAAACCACTTCAACATGAAGCTACCATACAAAGTTTGTTTTTGTTTTCCTTTTTTGTCGTTGTTTGGTTTTGTGTTTTTTTTTTTTTTTCTTTTGATACTTTTTTTTTCTTTTAGGAGTTCAGAGTTGCAATTTAATCCTGGCTTTTTAGTGAGAAGGACAGTTTTGGCCTAGACTTTCCTTTGCCCAGGATAATTTTTTGCTCTTCCTTTTGCTGACGTTGCCTCTCTTGTTCTAGTTTCATCCTCTCCTCATGAATCTTTCTTTGTTCTTCAACAATTTTCAATTGTTCTTCAGCCTATATATGAAAACGGTAGAATTTAGGCCAGGATATTTTATAGTCATATAAGCAATTTACAAGTCTGTATTAACTTGTAAGCAGGTCCAATCCTGCATAGGTATGTAAGTAGTTCTACCTGAGCTAGATGCCATAGTTGGTTTCAGTGAAACTATTTATAAAATTGTTATTTGAATTGAATTTAAAAGAAACACTGAAAACTTTCTACAGCCTAATGTATTGAAATCTGAGTGCTTACACCATTGCTTTGCAAACAAGAGATTACATTTTAATTAAGGAAGCCAGTGTATATAGAGAGAAATTCCCGACACCTGTCATGTGTCAGATGAAGACACAATATAATGAAGAAACAACAGACCTTCAAACAGAGATCTCCCCACTCCAAAACCCACATAAAACTCCCTCTTAATTAAATCCATCTTTATTTTACTTGTAACAAATCGATCCTTCCAATGACTTGTGGTTCTTACAGCTCTTCCAGTGGTCTTCCAAAGGTGCTTATTTTGTTCATTACATCAGTTAATACTTTAAATTTTCTATTTGTCCCGTTTCAACCATGAGGTTGAGAGAAGGGGTGAAACAGAAAGAGATCTAAAGCAGATGTAGTTCAAGCAAACAGTTTTAAGAAGCATCATCTTTACCTGAAAATGGTGCAATTAAGTAGGTAATTGAAACTGATGGGAGTTCAATCAGGATTCAGAATCAGCTTAGTTTGGCTTACCATCAATTAATTAGAATCAGCTAAAACATACGAAGTGTTCTCATGAGGCAGGCACCTGCTTCAATAGGCTTGGAGACCAACATAAGATAGACTTGCATAACTTAGATATCTGAAATTGATGCTGAAAGTCTCTTTCAGCACTTGTACATCACCACTATACTAGCTCCAAATCCAGTTTGTACTTGTCCTGTTCAATGAAACAGAATTAGCCCCTTCTGTTGTGGAAGCTGATTATATTTGCAAACTTACTTCAGCCTTCCCTGTGAGACACAGTTTAAAATGTACTTTTAAAATTGTGAAGGCAGGTATCCTCCTCTAAATTAACAGCACCTGAACTATTTTTTCAGACTACTGTTAGTGCTGTAAGGATCTGGCCTCTTGCACTGGAGGGAAGGAGAGCAATACTACTGACATATCCAGCAATAGGCAAGTTAAACTCTAGAAAGGGTTGATTTGTTTATTTTAATTGTGCGGCAAAACAGGCAGAAGGACCTGTATTCCCCTACAGAAAGGGTAACTACTCCTTCACGTACCAGTTTAGCTTGTGCTTCTGCAATTTTTCGATTATTCTCTTCTAGTATTCGCTCTAGTTCCTCACGCTTTGCACGCTCTTCTTCCTAAAGGGGAGGACAGGGCAAGATGTTAGTAAAGTAAAATATTGATTTCTGCATGTTCGCTAATCTTTCTCAGAATTATTTTGTGAACTGACTTTAAGTGGCAGCTTTACAGCCACCTATTCTGTCTCTCAATGGTAAATTGTGCAGCCACTAAAACTGGTTTCTAGTACTCAATTTACATCATCCCGCCCAGTCCAAACAGCAACCAACTAAACCCTCCCTAATCATAGAATCCTGACAATTTATTACTAGAATTTTAATATCACACAAATCAACAAGGACAACTACAAAAACTGGATAGTATTTACCAAATTAAAAAGTAATACAGAAAATATAAATAAAGTGAATAGTTTGTCTCACCAATTAAGTATACCTACGTATTCTTTACCTATACTCCTTTAATCAGCATTAAAAGTTGAATATTTACTGTCTTGTCCAGTGTCCTGCAGAGTGTGCTCCTCGGCTGCCATACGCGCCAGCTTCCTCTTTAAAATGATTTGTACTGTTAGCTTGGCAATACCTGCATCAGCAGCTCAACCATTTATAAAGAAACAACATACAAGGAAGGCTGAGCTGAGGAATGCAGATGTTTATGATAAGAAGGAACAAAAATATGTAAATCATTCCTAAGGCAAACAATTAATAAGAAAAATACATTTACTGTTAGTGAAAAATACAAATGGTAATCCATACTTCATGGAGCTATGGGCTTCTTTCATGGGGAGAATGAATTTAACATTCAATATTTTGACAATTTTAAGACAGCTGAAACTGTCATTTGCAGTCTGAACTTGGAATTCAGGAGTCCAGGGAAGGCAAGATCAGGAAATAAAGCCTTGTAATTGTTGTTTTCTTGGTGAATTTTATAGAACTCTGTTATGCAACTCATAAATATGAAGACTGCGTGAAAGTTTTTGAGTTGTTTCAGTTCACGTAATATAGATCCAAATTATTTTAATATTTGGGAGATTTAAAGTTAGCCAGAGATTTGTGTCTGTGTAAGAAAAAAAAGTTAATACGAACAAAGCAAGCATATGAAGAGAAAACTTCTTACTATGACTAGTAACCAGCTACTAGCTAGCACACTTCACTCCAGGCACAAAAGTTTATTCTGCATTTTAAAGAACTGATGGGACATCTCTGTATCACATTGAGAACAGGCAAAAATACTTTTTTTTTTTTTTTAAATAATCAATCTGATAAAACCACCAGACATTAAGCATTTGCTGACTACAGGCATCCAAGCTCAACTTAAGTTTTTTCATTGTAAGGTTTGAATTTGCAAAAAATCTGTAAGAAAATATTCTTAATATCTGTTGTAGCTCAGTGCTTTGGGGATTTTTTCGTTTTTAATTTGAAGATACTAGGTGACAGACATGTCACATTTAGTCTGAAGGGGAAAGGCTCATTACTACTGTTTATCATTTTGTAAGCCAATCAAAATTTAAGATAAAGTGTGCAGGAGGTAGAATGAAACAGGCATTTGAAACTTGTGACTATTTAGTGCAAATTTCCTTTACAGTTTAAAGTTTGTACTAAAATTTCTGGATCCTGGAATGATTGGTGCAGGCAGGCATCAAAGCCTTTAGTAGCAAATTACTGTCTCACAGAAAGACATTTTCAGCTTCTGCTCCAGCTGCTGATTAAAAGAAAAAAAAAACCACAAAAAAAAAAACCAAACCAAAAAACCCAAGTCACATGTTCAGCTTGACTTCAGACAAGGGCAACCTGCTCTTTTATAACTTCTAGGGAAAAAAAGGAGTTGTTAGTAGTTATTAAAAATGGATATAATGATTTGGACATAGATCCTTTGTGAAGACGTGGATGGGCTTATGCTCGAAGTCCCAGAATTAGTCCAATGTATGCTCAAGGAAAATGTTCGTTTTAAATGAAGAATAAGAAACCTATTTGTTAAACACAGGTACTGCAGCTCACTGCTGGACCCTGCTTTTTGCCTGGCTGAAGGCAAAAGCCTCTTACAGTCTAAGTAAAAAAAAAAAAAAAGAAACAAATGAAGGATACATAATTACAGGTTTTCAATACCCTACCCCAAAAATGAAAGGACCGCTGATAAATCCTGCAGCCATGGCAAAAGTTTCAAACAATTCTGAAATATGTAGGTCAGTTCCATTAAAAATCAAGTATCCTTGTTCAGGTTTTAGGAGAATAACTGTTTAAGTATCAGTGAGCTCCTCTGAATAGGCTAGAAATTAAGTTTCGCAGCAATGCAAGTTTATATGAGAAGGGAATTAGATTTGCTGTATTCCATCTCTTTCTGAACCGAACAGGAGGCACAAACCGACACTGAAAGTTTTGCCATGGACTGTCTCTACTTTCCAAACGACCGAGCGTTACCTCTCTGGCTTTTTGTGCTGCAAGTTCAGCTTGTCGCTGTCGCTCGAGTTCTTCGAGCAACTGTTTTTCCATGATGCGCTTTGCCTCCTCCACCCTGCGGAGAACCTCTCGCTCAATCTCATCCTTCCTTTTCTCCAACTCTTCTTCTACGCGTTTAGCTACGAGCTCTTCCACTCTTCGAGCAGTTTCTTCCTCTATGAGTTTCTCTTCAATTTCTTGCTGACGACTATAAAATGCAAACAAGAGAATTACCTTTTTAATCAATAGAGTGGAGCGATTGAAACAAGCTTTCAAATTCACAGTACCAGCCATACTACAATTTTTACCTTATACACACAGAGATTTCAATAAAGTTTTGCCCTACATTTAAGGAAAGTGAATATTCAGGCAATCACTGTTCCTACCACAGGAAGCCCATTCGGACCACACCATATCTGGCATCTCTCCGTATCTCAGGTCATTAAGCAAAGGAAAAAAAGAAAATAAAAATGCCCCACCCAACTTTGGCCATCTTTCATGAATTGAAACTATTTCAATTTCAAGCCACATGTAGCAAAATCATCTTGTAATATCATGTGTTAAGGTTGCAACCTCAAGAGGCACCAAACCAATTTCTAGCAACTAAAATAGAAGACAAAACCAACAGAATTTGAGTATATTAACAATAATTCCAGGTGTTGTATCTGTAATCTAGTTACCCAGTAATTTACTGTATCAAATTTCAGATACCTTAGCTCTCCTTAACTTCTTTATTGCATCACTCTTTCTACCATAGTTAACCAAAATAAAATATACCAAGTGCTAAATAAATCCTTGCAACCTTTACAGTTCTACATGTTCTGAATTCTGGAAGTACTTTCAAATGCCTTCTTGTCATTATTTTTGTTTAGCAGTAGCATTATCACTTAGTCTGATCACCAATTTAAGTTTCCATTAAAAAGGATACAAAAATATTAGGTCAACTTGCAGGTTTATTACAATATGAAGAAAAAAAATAATTTCTGGGTAGTAACCATGAGTACAAGACAGCAATTAGACATCCAAAGTCCAACGAAAGTGAATACTGTATAGCTATGTTTCATATAAATACTATTTATTTAGAATTGTTACGGGCTTTGGGAAGAAGGTTGTTCTTTTAACCTTGAAAATGAACTTTCATTTTAAGGCTCCTATAAAGGATAGAACAATCTTATAAACTTCTCACCTGTCAGCTCCAGAAATCCATTACTTAGTTTAAGAACTAATGCAGTAATACCCTAACATATCATAATGTTTGCATTTTCTTATTTATCTTGAGAGATAAGTCTTACACTGAGATACATCAAAACAACTTCTAAAAAAGAAAAAGTTACAGGATTTACTAACTTTAAGATTTCTCAGTGTCCAATTTGCAAGCATACAGTAGAAGATAATAAAGTACTAAAAACGGATCTAGATGAATACGAGAAATACCAAGATGAAAGGCTCACAAATTCCCCCTTTTCATGCATCTTCTTTTAAAAAATCTGCTGAAAAAAATGGATTATCTATTTCCTTCAGTAAAAAGTTTTGGAGCTTTCAGCTTAAACATTCAGCCCCAAAAGACAAATTTTATTCTTACATTCCTCAAGAGATATCAAACTTATTCTGTGGTACATTAGCCCAGCATTCAGTTTTCATAAAGTGATACAAAATAGCTTGAGGTTTTAGGGTTTGTTTGTTTGTTTTCTTCAGAAAAATAAAAAAACCCAAAACTACTACCATCCAGAAAATCTCATCAACCCCACTCTGTTAGTGTGTCTCGGCCAAGCCATGATTACCTACAATCTTTTTAGGATGAAAGGTAGAGCAAAGGGGTCAAAAGATTATGACATTTAAAATAACCTTTATATTCTAACTAGCCTTTTATTTTTGAAGTTTTTTTCTTCCCTCTTAAGGCTATTTATTTAGCAGTGAGTACATTCACCATCCTGTACTGATAGAGCTGAGCAAACAGGAGGCTGAAATAACTTTCTGGAAAGCTCATGTTAACTTGTTTAATTCAACTATTTAAGCTTTATGTTTAACATCATGGAAATCTAAAATAGAAGTGAGCAAATTAGATAAAGATCATACATAGTTACAAAAAACCTCCTGACTCTCAGGTCTGAAATAAATTTTCCAATAATCTCAGAAATTGATGACACACTCAAATTAAGCATTGTATCTGCATGTTTCATTCTTCTCATCCCAACAAATTCAGTTCAATTAAACCAAGCAAATACATTTTTCCACATTCCTAGGCAGTGACAATATTACAAATAGATTGTAACTACCACTGTAAACAATCATGTTTCTTGAAGCACTGCAATAGAAAGAAGTGAAATAGAAGAAACTAAAAGTTTATTCTTCAAGTTCACTGATAAGACCACCTTATGCCTATGGATAAATGTACTTCCAAACAGTGGCTTTGAGTTTATATAAAACCAAAATAACAGAGATATAAATCTCAATTGTTTTTTTCTGTAGTTTACAGCAACTACTCCATTTTCTTTTTTAAATTGCATGAACTTCCAGTATTTTGTATACAAGTGTAAGCGTATCATCCTGACCTACTGAGCCATGTTCTCCAGAGAAAGAGGTCATTCCTGTAAAAATATTTTAGAATGCTCCATTTACTGCTTAAAGACTGGTTTGAGAAAATCTGCAGAAAAGAAACTGCTTACATTTCAGCAGGTTTCTGAGGAAAAAAAAAAAAGCAATGCTTGCAAGGCCTTTACAAGCAACTAATATTATATGAAAAAGTAGAAATTAGGCTCTGCATTAAGATTTGAACAGACATGAGAAAATAAAATAAAATCACTTTCAATATATGAACTGTCATGTAGCTAATTCAGTCAGTGAGACTTTATTTCCTTTGCTAACATGAGTATATATTTACATATACAACGATTTACAGATTATTTACTCAAATACCATAGTTTTCTACTCTTACTAAGTTTTACTGCTTTTTCTGTTTGAAATTTGAAGTGTATTCTAGAAGCATCAAAATTCTATACCAAATCTTTTCTGGTATTTGTCCCTCAGCAGATAACTAATTACCAATTACCATTACCAATGTAATTCAAACGTCATATTCCTTGTCTACGGACTTGATAAGTGTTTTAAGATTTCAAAGCTAACATACAGAAAACTTTACTGAGGAAAGCGGATTTGATATATATGTTGCTACATCTAATATCACTGAATGAACTGATTGCTCCATAGCAAAAAAAGGTAAAATATTTTAGATATTGAAGATTATATAAAAACTTCATTTTTTACTGCCACTTGAACAGATTTCCTCTTTGAACTCTTAAAGTCTAGACACAGATTAATCACAGAATTCTTCACTAACACCATTTGATATTTCAAGCTAGATAATGTTTATTTTGTTATTTGCATAAGCTCCCTCTCTTCTGTTCTTCAATCCATGTACACACTATTTAAAAGAATATATTTGAAATAAAATAGCTCCTGAATACTAAGATAAACTATTTACTATATCCTCAAATTGCTAAGCACATTTAAATCCTTCATGCCAGATATTAATGCAGTGTTTTTATTTAGGTACTGAATAAACTATAAACCCCAAAATTAGAGTAAATAACTCCAAAAGCCTTCACCATTTTCATGTGTGTTTGTGCTACTATCGAAGTTTTTGATGACACAGTTGTCAAATTCAGAAGCTGGCAAAAGCGATTACTGACAAAAATGAAAGTAACAATTCAAGATGATCAAACCTTTGGAACTACAATTAGTATTTCATTAAAACAATATCGCTGAAATAAAACTCGAAACTCCACCTGAGAATTAACAGAACTACTTGGCTTCACACATATAAACAATTACTGCTTCTGGATTCAGTGCTGCAATGAGCAAAGGTAACATTCAAAGAACAAGAGTAACTTTATCACAACTGTTAAAAGTTATCGTAATCTTTATGCAGCAGCATAAAAGTCTCTTTCATAACAGTACTGCTAAAGCATCTTAATGCACACCCAACGTTAAGTAATAAAACAGAATTTATCTCTGCAAACTTTATAAATAGCCATATCCCCCACGACGAAAACTGAAAAAGGAAAAGGTTTCAGATGAAAAGAGTCACCGGATCTCACTGTCCCACTTATCAAGGAAATAACTAAGAAACAAAACAAAATCAAAAACCGGCTAATATAACTGTTGCATAAGTATTTACGAAAACCCTAAGTCGAGGAACTCCGGATGCCTCCGCTCGGCGCATAACGAGCTCCACGCACAAAGGGGAGGGGCAGGCAGCGCAGCACAAAGCCTGCGGGGCGCGGAGGCCTGGGCAGAGACGTTTCCGAGCTGCGCGGGGGAGCCGCGGCAGAGCGGCAGCAAACCG